CTAGTGTGATCCCTTGTGTAAAATAACCCAAGTGTCCTAGAATATTTAGGTTTTGGTGTTGTTTTGTTTGTTTGAGGTTATTAACTAATAGCAGTACTGCTTATATAAAATTAACTAATGTTGTTTTTGTATGGCTATGCCTATGAATTTATATCTCTGCTATAAAGTGTTAGTATTATTATAGTTTTAACTTAGTGCAATTGTATACTAGGTGTATTAATCTAGATGCTTGTATTATCATTTTTGGGGAGTTGATTTTTTGGAAATCGACAATCCTTGGCTTCTAATTGCGTGTCTGGGATCTTGTTTGAGCTTTGTGTGTGAAATTGTGAAATCTCTTTGTTCAATCATAGACTCATAGTGAACATTATTCATTGACTACATTTGATATTCGATTACATAATGTAAAAAACATTATACTTTGTACTTTGTTATACTCTGTTTAATATTGCAACATGGGGAGAGCGTATAAGATTTTAGACAGTGAGAAAAAAGAAAATTCACAAGCTAGCATAAATTTAAGCAAATTAGCAGCACAAAGACCACAAGCATAAATTCACAAAAGCCAAAAAATAAAATAAATTTAAGCAAATAAGCAACACAAAGACCTCAATTAGAAATTCACAAAACCCGACAAATAAAATAAATTTAAGCAAATATGCAACACAAAGACCTCAAGCATAAATTCACAAAAAAAAAAAAAAAAAAAATAAATAAAAGAAAAACAATTTGAAAGTAACTTAAACATAATTGTATATAATATCACCTCAATTTAACATTATTTTTTCAAGAAACAAATCAAATTTGTGCACAAGGATCAATTATCTATAAAGAGAAATAGATAGAGCAAGTGGGTTGCAACTTGCAAGTAGACTATGGCAATCGAATCGTTTAAGCTTTAAGACTGATAATTTTGGGTTGATTATGCTTTCAAGTAAAGTTCAGGTCAAGTCAATTCGGATTTCGGGCTTATTCTTGTCAACAGATAATCGAATTAGGTCGGATTCAGATCAAGTCAATTCGAATATTGAGTTTGTTCGAATCAATAAATAATAAAGTTAGGTCGGGTTCAAGCCAGGTTAATTCGGGCTTCAAGTTTGTTCAAGTCAATAGATAATCAAGAGTGCCAGGTTTCGAGTTGAGTTCGGTTTAAATCTATTTGGGTTATGTCATTTTGGATCGGGTCAAGACTTCCAATTAAGTTTGGATCATGTATAGTTCAAATAAAGTCATTTCAATCGAGTCGAGTCAACCTTTGAACATTCGAGTATTTCGAATTAGAAATAAAAATTTGGGTCACTTCAATTCGAGGCTAACATGATCGATGATTCAAAATTAATGAAAATGAATACTCAAAATATGCAAATTTTACACTAACATATTATAAAATATAAAATTACAAAAATAGAGCTAATTTAGTGCAGGTTGTTTTGTATTTGGGTCTTTTCGGTCTGGTTATAATCATTTCGGGTCATTTTGGATATAAGATAATTTCGATTGGGTCATTTTGAGTACCGAATAATTTCGAATTGAGTCACTCGGGCATCAAGTTTGCTCGGTTTAATAATTTCGGGTTAAAATCGAGTCGGGTCACTTTGGGTATCAATTCAAAAGCGCGTTAACTCCCTAGTTTCATTTAGGTTTACTTTGGGTAATCAAACAAGTTCAAAACTTAGCTGACACATTTTTAAGATACTTATTTCGAATTTTGTTTAAATTAGAACTAATCAGACCAGATGATTTAGACTTGTTAAATAATGACAAGAAGAATCAAATCAGATCAAATAGATTCAGACTAGAAACATTCAAACCAGACAAGATTTTAAAATATTCAGATCAAATCACCTTATTGCGTAAAGAGAACAAACCCTAAATAATTAAAATTTATATGTGCGACAATTAATTACGAACAGGGTGAATCAATAACGCAAACAGGGAATTAATCATGCCTATATATAGGACTATAACACATAGGGAAACACAGAAGGTACTAAATTAGGGGAATGCTGAGATAATTTCCGGTGAAAGTGGGTTGTTACTATAAACATGCAAGTGTGAATGAGGATAGGGAAGAGTAAGGAGCAGCAATTAGTTTGTCTAATTTATGATCTTGGTGTTACAAAAAGGCTATTTGATTCTTTCTTTCTTAAATTGGGTTAATATTTTGATGGGGAATTCCAATGCACTGCCGAAAGTGGGCCACTTTTCAGCCGCGATAGGCCAAGTCCTACCTTGAGGTAGCGTGTGCAGAAGGCCTTTAACTATGGCTCGTCAAAGGAGCGCTGTACAAACTGAGCACAGCTGAAGTCTGCGGATTTTTTTACTCAAAAATTCTGATACTTGAAAAATTTTTGATGTTTCTGAATTCAAAAAATAAATATAGTTGTGTCGATTTCTGATTGAACGATATTGTTTGGCTTGACATTGGGTTGGATGGTGGAATAATCCGAGTCCGATTGTTTATTTGGCACGACACAAGAAAAACACGACGTGACACGAATATGGAGTGTTGTATCAAGTGATGAAATCTGAATTTTATGAGTAAGCACAATATATTATCAAAAAAAGGGGACAAAACACAACCTTGCAACTTTCCAAAGGGTGGATCGTGATGTTAAGAGTGGCCAACCCTACATAGCACGGGCACAAAATATCATCTCAAGCTTGGGTTGTGCGGTTGTGTCTAACTAAGTTTTAAGTATGGTCGTGTCTAGCTAAATTTCGTCTCAAACTTGGGTTGTGCGGTTGTGCATGCCCTATAACCATGGTCACACATTCAATATTATATCATCATTAAGCAATAAGAACTACGGAGTAATATAAAATATGTCCACTTTAGATTTAGTCCTAAGAAACAAAGGTAGCAAGTTGATAGAACCATCTCCCGACTCTTAAAGGGGGTCATATTTGCCTGTTGTTACTCCTTAAGTATGACATACGAAGTACATACGAGTAGTAATTAAAAATACAACCCCTAAAGGCCAAGGGATACATGTTGCTCTACTAAAACATTGAATTCCAACCCACCCCATAAGATACATGTTCTACTAAACATTGAATTCCAACCCACCCCATAAGATACATGTTCTACTAAACATTGAATTCCAACCGACCCCATAAAAAAAATCAAGTAATACTTAGCCCCCATTTGAAGTGTTGGTGTGAATTTGATCGTTTTATCCCCTTTATTTTAAGACCCTTTTTTTTTTTTTTTTTTTTTTTTTTTTTTTTTTTTATACAAACCTTTATTTTAAGAATTTAAAAACTATTATTGTTAATTCTATTTTGATATACATTATCTAAATTAATCCGAAATTATGTGTACTACAACTTATTTTTTCTTAAATTATTTTATCTAAACTTATAAATAAGGGGTAAATAAGATAAAACAGGCTAATAAGATGAACCAACATTGCCTAAGTTCTATTTGTTGCATTTGTTCTATAGCTTTGTTTGGGCCACATAATACATTCTACTTACTACCAATCCACCATTAATAATACTGCATATGTATATTGTTGATATAACTTCTAATTAATGAATTTCAGGGACTTGGATTTCCTATGTATATTTATTTTTATTTTTATGCAAAAAAGGCATCTTGGTGAGCTAAAATATAAGAGACAAGAAAGGGTAGCAAATGGAGGGGTGCAGAAGCTGAAGGGAGCATTAGTTGCAATTGGGGGAGTTCCATTTATGTAATGTAAGAGAGAGTGACGTTTAAGCAATGGCTTTTCAGTTTTGGTCTTTTACTTACCATTTGCTACTTACATACGTTATACTATTGATTATTGAAGAATGATTAATCAATTATACAAGTACTACAAATCATTCCGTAATGAATAATGTTAGATGCAGAGCAAATATGTTGATTGCTAACTCAGAAAATATGAAGATTTCATAGTTTAGAGTGTGCTTTATTTACTTTCAATCAACTTAAACAGCCTAGGTCGACTTGACTTTTTTTTTTTTTTTTTTTTTTTTTTTTTTTTTTTTTTTTTTGGTGTTTAGAGAGCCACTAGGGCGGAGATGAAAATCAATCCCAGGATCCCCTGGAATCGGAAGGGAGCTTTAACCACTTGACCTATCCCCCACTCTCCGGCGTTTAAGATTTAAACTTAAATTTAAATCTTAAACTTAAATTATATTGAGTTTAAGATTTTAACCCCTTTTAACGTTTTAACCAACCCCATTAAACCAATAAGTAAGTTTTCTTTTTGAATAAACTACTTTCTTTTTAGGAGTCTATAACTCTAACTTACCTAAGAACTATAGATTAAGGTTTTCAATACACTACGTCATTGGATTCTATTTTCTTGGATTTGCTTTTGTATGACATTAAAAGTAATTCATGAATGATCAACACTACACCATTTTGATGCATATTTGGATTGCTCTAAACATTACTCTCTTGGGATCAATAATATTGTTTCTAGAGTGGTAAACTAATCTATTTTAATTAGAACATCAAGCACCCTATACAACACCCCCCCTCTCTTCCCACACACACACAAAAAAAAAAAAAAAATAGCATTACAATATAATACAGAGTTTTTATAATTCTCTCCAAATTTCCTTCCCCTTAACAAGTTAATCTTATACATCCATAACTTTAATATAAAGATATTAAACAGTTTTCCAATGTTTTTAATGTTCAAAAGTTACAGAACTGCACTACCATTGTTATAAAAAGTGCTAAAAAGAACAAGTTATGCACACAAAAATGTGAACTTTTGGGAAAATGCAGGATTATGTACAATGATTTCATCCACCTACCATGCTTCCATACCAAAATTCTATGCAAAAATATACTTGTATATACACATCATCTAACAAACAATGTTATGGGCTTTGCAGCTTTTCTCCCCACTTGCTTTTAGAGGTTATGAAATCTTAAGCAACAGGCTTGAAAGTGGGCCTATTATTAACAAATTTATGGGCCATGTACTCCAAGGCCCACTTTTGAAGAGGAAGGGAAAATAAAAATGGTTTTTACCATGTATCAAGGAGATTTTACTGTCTGGTTATATATAATGCATCCTTAAGCTGAATAAATGTTGGATTGTAATTTGGTTCCTGAGTCTGGTAATTTGGCTACAAAGATAAGTAATTAGCAGAATGCAAAGATAAAATGTTTGCAAGATATTCAGTAGCTAAACTGGTGTGATTTCGAAACTTACAAGCTTTAATACAACAAATACATTGGAGTATATATTTAATAGTTGTATACTACGTTTTGTACACCAAAAAAGATCCTGTACCAGTATAATTGGTTGCCAATGCCTTTCCTGCTGTGGTTGGATTAGAGAATGCTAACTGCGAGTGCTCAAGAACATAGTCTGTAGAGAAGCTTTTCCTGCATGAATATTTTACATGAGAATAGATATTTAAATATTACTGGAATACAATCAACCAACAAAAGCAAAATGATGAAAAAAAAGACTGAATGGCAAATTTATGCTGCATTAAAAAACATAAACAGTCTCCTCAATAACTCCCTTATCATACATTTTATGGTAGTTAGCCTTGCCAGACAAAATTATGAAGCTGTAGGGTTATCGAGGGTATTGATGAACCTTGAAAGCAATATAACATCAGAATGATTATGAAACATTTGAGGCAGCCAACAGTCAAAGTGATAGTCACTCAGTTATTAGTTGATTTGAGCCTTTGAGGAGTTGAAACACAGAGTGCTGCTGTTGCTTACACAATTCTACTAGCAAGAGAAGCCAGGCAATGCAAGACTAAGAGATTATATCTATAGGTGCTTTATTGCTTTAGTGCGTGGGTGACTGTGGAGTTTGTTCATTACAGAATCTATGGCAATGCTTGTGTTGCCATCAAAAAGCATGCGAGAAATAAAGGCAAGTTAGGCAACCGAGTCAAGGATCTTATGGCAATCAATTAGTTCAAAAAAGTTGAGACTTTAGACTCCTAGATAACATACATGGTAATGTGCAATGAGAATTTATAAATGATGTTTTGGGGGATCATCAAGAAAAATTCTTATTACGAAAAAGTATGAGCTTCTGTCAATTGTTCTATCTAGCTGAATGACTACCAGCATCAAAACAGCTCTAAAGATATACTTTTACCTCATGGAAGATGAGAGCATGAGGCATTAATATAAGAAGTGATACTCAATTTGCATTAGCTAAGTATCACCTACTCAGTAAACCAATCCCTCGTCCCTAAGTGCACCCAAAAGGCCACAATGACAAGCTTTATACTCTACAAAAATCACGCCAATCTCGTCCTTATAGATACAAACACAAATGCAAAGAGGGTATGCTGAAGATAGTCAGATGCCGTAATACTGCCTTACTTTTGCAGCAATTCAATGGCATAACTAACATTCTGTTTGGTGAGATTTTGAGGAAGGAAAGGGAAAAATAGGAAGAGAAAGGGAGGTGTGTGTGTGTGTGGTGGAGGGGGGAAGGGAGGGTTTCAATAATAAAGAGATTAGGTTTATTTAAAGGGGAGGAAAATGGATCCTCATTCCCTCCAACCTTTCTTTTTACTTCCCCTATTTCTGCTGCAAATAAAGGAAAACGAATCCTGACTTTCACATCCCTCCCTTACCCTCCAAATCGTCATATACCTAAATATAGTGTAAATGTGAACTACCGTTAGTCACAGACTCACAGTCATACCTTCAAAGAGCATGCCAAGGCCGGACAGCATGCAGGAAGGAGGAGGGAGCACAAGGAGTTCACACTTCTAATTTTGGAAGGTATGTGAGTGCATTGCAAGATTTCTATTAGCCATGATGCAAACCTGACACCTGCATGATGCTAAAATTATGGTTTTATTCTTCTTCTTTTAAAATCATACAAGTAATAGTTAGCATGAGAAAAGACCTACTGCAACTCCAACCACCTAATCACCTATGTCCTGGGCCCCTGATCCATGTAGACCAAGGGCGAACACTCATTGTTTACGGCATGGACTACCAGGGTATCTAATCCTGTTCGCAATATGCAATTTGCATTCACTAACACTCTAGATTATCGTTTCACTAAGAAACCTTAATAATCAAACATATACAATCTAACAGTAAAATGCATATCCAAATTTACCATTACTGCCATAATGATATGTTTTAGCATCTGTTCAAGGTTTTAAGCTTCCATAGTAACTCACTAACCAGACCATCTGCCTCGATTAAAACAGCTCCAAGGTGCCTCATCCAGATTCTTGCAGTAATAAAATTATTCTATCCACAGTAGTGCACCTAAGCAGTAAGCACCTAAGCCCTCAGGTACTTTTGATTCCAGAATCCATATTCACCATTCACGTCGTAGTAAATAACTACTGGTTGTCATCTCATAAAGACATTAATATACATGACTTTGTCTTGTTTTCTATGGCATTTAAAACCCCATAAAAGAAAAAAGTATCGTGACTTTACCAAAAAGCTTTACTCAAGCAGAACATTATCAATGCAATGTGAATGACTACTGTCTCTACGGACCTAATTTGTATCCCTCTTCTTTTCTGCCTAGGCATGGGTAAATGGACTGGAACAAGGAGTCACTGACAGTTAGTCATTATGTGTCCATGCTGCTTAATTATGGCAATAATAATAATAATAAAGAAAGACTCTTTTTACATAGCTATAACAGGTCATTAGTAACAACTTTTTTGACATTTTTCTAATCAGTCATATATTCTCATTCATGGAAATTGATACACAACCATAGGTAGATTTTAAAGTGTGGGAAGAGCTAAGTTACCTCACAGCGTCTAACAAGTGAGTTGCAATATGTTTTCTTCGATTTGATGGACTGACCCAAATAGCTCTAATGCCACAAGAAGCAGGTGTAGCCTCCTCTTCACAGACAATGGATCCCAGTAAGGTAGAATCCATAGCTTCCGAGCTTTTATGGGTAGAGCCTTTCCTAGAAACTTCCCTTTGAAAGCATATCGTACCAAACTGCAATGTCTTTGCTTTAGGTATTACTTCTTTTCCACTTGCACTATCTGATAATTGTTGTACCGAGTCCGAAAGGAGCTTGTGTGCCGTGCTTATTGGCTCCACAATCATACAGCCAGCGACTCTTTGTGAGGATATAAACAAATACACCTGCAACAACCATTCCGCAAAGGTTACTCAATAATATCTACGCATACAGAACAACTTCCGAAACACGAAATGAAGTGATATGTCTGGATAACTCCAACATATCAGTACAAACCTCACAAAGCTCATGGAAAATCCACCCATCACCAAGCTCAATCTCCATCATCTTCACAACTTCTTGTACCTAAAACATAATAATATCCCAACAAAAAGCTAAATTTACTGCACAATCATCTCAATCTTGTTTACAACAAAAAAATCACCAACAAAGAAACACCAGCTACTTTTAAAGCAAAATGAAATAAGATCTCAACTTTCTTCATTTGAGCCGAAGGATCACAATTCGAAACAACTACGATACGATCCCTTTCGAGAACCGGTAAATGAATCAATCGCTCTTGGCGCCAACCCTGTAAATCAATACAACAATTCAAACAATCCAAAAAAACAGAACTACTATTGAAAAAAGGGCTAACATTATGCAAATTTCACCTTAAATGGGATTCCATGAGTATAATTCTTATGAAATGAAGTATGAACTTTCTCATCAGTTTCATCCCCTTTAGTATACTGAATCCCACAAACTTTACAAGTATGAAGAAGAAAATCAGACTGACCCAATTCCAAATGAAATTGGGCATACTTTCTCTTCTTATTCAAATTCTTTCCTTTAAATTTCTCACTCTTTTCGATTTGCTCTTCGAAACTTTCTTCCCCAATTATCCCATCACTTGTCGATTCCTCAACCCTAAATTATAGGACCATAATATTAGATTTGGACCAAATTAACGATCCGGGCATGAATAAAATTTGATTAATTAAAGTTAAAAATGCATAATTTGGGGGAAAATTGAAGTACCTGGTGGGTTGACGAGTGTATTTGATTCGAATTTCTGGGCACTTAGGTGCCCTAATTCCGTCGAATAAATCGTCGGAATTTGCAGATGGAGGAAGATTTGATGAGTGTTTGAAGAATGATTCAATCTTTTTCTGCATTTCTTCCGATACTTCAAAACTCGCAATCAATTTCTTGCAAAATTCTGATAGAGTTCGGGTTTTGCTGAATATGCAGATTACTTTGGACTTTTAGCTCCCTCCATTTTCGTCTATCTGGAATTTGGGGACTATGTTTTCGCGCCAAAACGTTCAGTTTTTTTTGGAGGGTTGTATAGACCGACTTAGACGTGTAGAGTAATTTAGGGGTGTTCTATTCACCTGATTTTTATTTATCTGATATTAACGAACTTTACAAAATTTATTTGAACTTATTTTAGTTGTAATTTGTATTTTAGTAACCCCTTATCAGACTTTATTTTTCCCGAACTTAATTAACCTGAAATTAGTGAAGATAAGGTGAACTGAATAAGCCCTTAGTGATAAGACATTTTTATTTCTAAATAATTGCATGGTTTGTTTGAGCACGCTTGCTGACTGTAAAAATATAACCGTGTCTCCAAAAATACTCGATATTAGCATGAATATAACTTTGATTTGATTTGTATCTGAAATAGGATCGAAGAAATTTTGATAAATCTAAACACGTTTGAGATAAGGATGTGAGACACTTTATAGGCAACCATATAGCTTATAACACCCCCAAATCCCTCTCTAAGGAAAAACTAGTATAATATGTATAATTATACTATAGAAATAGACTTAGGCATATTATCGGCGCGTGATTACGTAAGGCTACTTCAAAAACTTAACTCAACAATAAACTTGCAGCGGAAAACTCAACTCTTCTTTTATTAATATTTAAAAATAGTAACATTGTCATGAGTACTCATAACAAAACAAAAACCAACATTCCCTTATCTAGGTGAAGCAAATCTCGGGACTCCCATATGCTTAAATTATTGACTCCACCTGAAAAATTCATCACTGCTTACCATTAAGGTAAACAGGGCGAAGCAAAACAAATAGGAAATACAAATTAGCAAAATATGACAAGTACATTTAAGTGCAAGATAAGTAAACTCAATTTTATTAGCAAACATTCTTTTGAAACCAGTTATGGAAATTCCAATATTTATTTCATAATTAAATTCTCATAATTCCAAATCCACTCTCAAAATTCTCAAATAATCCAATACTCAAATAAGTTGAATAATAATTCAATTAATAAAATCAATTTCTTTTTAAAGCCCCATTTCCTCTCCTAAGTGTGCACATCCCCCAAATTAGTATCTTTATATTGAAAGACTATCCTTGAGGAAAGACCCGAACCCAGTCATACAATGTCCAAACTCTTATCAACCAAATCTACATAGTGGGATTAATTTAATCATGCTTGTAAAGCTTTAATAATAATTCAATAATTCTCATAGAAGTTCCTCTTTGAATAAAATCAACCTATATAATAAAGTAACTCCTTTTTATTTAATTCAACATGTTTCAAAATCAAACCTTCTTAAACATGATAAATCATTAAAACATGGTATTAAAATAATTTCTCAAACATATTTGTTTTAAAACATTAATTCTCAAACTTATTTCATAAATCACAATAACCAATTTAATTCAAACATCATTAAAATCACATAAAACATATAAGTCAAACCAATCACTTTAAAAGGTATTTAGCGACCTAAATGTACCTTGAATCCTTGCTTAGCAAACACTCAAAAGAACCTCAAGCACTCTTGTCAAGAACACCCTACAATTAAATATAACCTTAATAAATATAAGGTCATCAAATAATCACAACAATTAAAATAAACTCCCAATTCTATGTACACGAACCTTATAAAAATTCTTTTCATAACTTTGAATAATTTCAAATTTCATTTAATTTAAAACACTAATAATAATTTTTGTAAAACCATAATAATAATAATAATAATAATAATAATAATAATAATAGAATTAATTAAGAGAAGAGAAGAAGAGAGATTGAAAACCGAAGAAGAAGAGAGGAAGAGGAAGGCACGACAGCAGCTTCCAACAGGTGCTACTGGCGTCGGAGGTGGTGGCAGTCGGCAGTTTGAGGTGGTGGTGGCGCAATAAAAGTGAAGAGAGGAGGAGAGAAAAGCGTGAGAAATAGAGTGGGAAAAAGAGAGAGAATTTTGTGTGAGTTTTTGCATTGATGTAAGGGGGTGTTTATAGGCTCAAGCATGCAAGAATTAAGGTAATATTTTATAGGAAGAAGTATGTCAATTTTAGTTTAAGGAATTACTTGGAAAAGAGAGTTTAATAATTAAGGAAGGTTTAATTTTTGGTGATTAAGAAATAATAAAATATGGTAAGAGGTTGATCATGAAATAAAAGATGGTAAGTGAGCTTGCTTGGGGAATAATTAAGAGACAATATTAGACAATATAATCCATGATCATATTTTGATAAGATTGGAATAAAGGGTTTAAGAAAATAAGGAATTTAAGGAGGATAATTAAAATACAAACTAACAAAAATTATCCCAAATTTAACATAGTTTGGCCGAAAATATTGAGCCTACTCATGCTCAATATTTTTGGACCTCCTACATTAGTTTAGGGAAATTTTTTCTAGATTTTAAAGATTAAAAATGATTGTGTAAATAATTTATTTTGTAAGAAATATTTAATTAGAAAATCTTACCTTAAAACTAACTTAATTAACTAAGAAAAATCTGATTTTCTACATTATATTTAGATTGAGCCTAATCAAGCTCAATATTTTCGGACCTCCTACATTAGTTTAGGGAATTTTTTGATAGATTTTAATGATTAAAAATGATCGTGTAAATAATTTATTTTGTAAGAAATATTTAATTAGAAAATCTTACCTTAAAACTAACTTAATTAACTAAGAAAAATCAGATTTTCTACACTTAGAAAATCCGAAATCCTTAGCTAATTAATTCGGATTTTCAGGCCTTTCGGCCCTTTAATTGATAATTAGGAAATGTAATTTTTGTTAATTAAAATATCCAATATATATATAGTTAGGTTTTTATTAAAATATTAAATGGATGATTAACCTTATCCGAAATCCAAAGTAATAATCGAGTTTGAAAATATTTTTGGAGTCAAAATTCAAATATCATTTTGGCTCCTTAATCAAATAATAAAATAAATTACTAAAATACCCTTTTTAAAAATTAGTAAATAATTAATTAGTTAGAAAATACGTCTCAAAAATACGGGGTATTACATAGCTATTCTTCAACAATCCAAAATCAATTCCACTTGATTAGACTTGAGTTTAAACCCACATCTACATAAACTCACTATGCAAGGGTGTGAAAGAAATTAACGTGCAAATTTAATAAAGAAAAGCATCAAAATAAAAGTTTGTGTTCAAAGTACAAAATAGAAGTTCAAAAGATTTAAGTTTCAAAATCCATAAGAAAGATGATTTAAAGCAAATTAAAGGAAAGAAAGATAGTTTAAAAGAAAAAAAGTTAAAAGTTCAAAAGTCAAAAGCATATTTGTACACTATGGAATGAAGGCTTTCTTTGGATCTTGAGCCTTTACTCTTCTCGGGCAATCCCTCAACCTTAAACCACACCACATACAACTTGCAAAAGATCTATTAAAGGCAACAATTGAACAAGGTCTGATTATGTAAGGATACATAGGTTGTCTCATCTTGAGGTCAAATCGCATCTTATCCATCAACAACGATAAGAATTTTTAGAATTTCAAAGAACACGTAGTCTAGATACCAACCTATATTGAAATACAAACCTACATTAAGCACAAGCCAACCAAATCAATCGTTCATCGTCTTTACCATTAGCTACAAATTCAAACCTTTTTGTTTTCTTAATCCAAACCATTCTTGCCAACCTAAATGGATCAGACTCTCCTCTTTTTTCCAAAAGAATATAATTTGTTCGAATATAACGTCATTCCATTTAAACTTAATCCAAGCTCTTTGATTGAGATTCCGCAAGGTTGTGAGGTATTACATTACTCAAATTAACTTATTGATATATTAACTTGACCTAATCTGACCTAAAAATATGGCTCAACTAACAACATCTCACCCAATTCCTAATTATACAACTTTATGTAATAATGTAAGTAGGACTGTCAAAAGAATTTCATTAATTTTTATAAGAAAAGAAGAATGTAAAACAAATACTATAATGAAAGTGAGTAAATAATACAAATCACACTTTATAGTTTATATTGAAAGCATCTATTAAGACCAACAAATCTATTAGCATCATTATTCAATCAACATGAAATAAATAAAAGCAATATTATACAAGCCGTACTGCATTTGTTGGTAAATACATGGAGGGTCATAGCCAAATCTAGGATTGATTGTATATCGTCTATATCACTATCCATCCTTGTGGCCATTCTGGGTCTATTCACAATAGGCCATTATTTAAAAAATAAATAAAAATACAATGCAAGAATTATACATAATAAGAGTTTTAATTTGCAACTGTTCATGATATCATCCGCCGAATCTAGACTTGTTAAACCGTCAAAGTTTTGCGGAGAGAAAGTTCCCTTTCAGAAATTGCTTCCTTACACTTGTAAAATGAGTGTTCATTAAATAATGTTCCAAACATATGCATTTCACATCAAAGTCCAAGGTTTTCTTCTCTTCTGAAGCCATTTTTTTCATCAAATTTTGTGTGTTCTTGTCGTTCACCATGGCCACAAGAACATCATCATCTTAAAACCATTTATAAAAACTTACGCTAGAATTTGTTGCATCTTCAATGCAAATGATCAATATATTTATACATATTTCAAATTACATACATGCATAAGAAGTAATTAAACTTATTAAAGAAAATTAGGGTTTTTTTTTTTTTTAATTAATCAGAGTTTGCAAGACATAACTATAACAATTTAGCGCGTTTTGTGAGCCACACTATGTGACCGCTTAAAATGTAAAAGAATAAAATAACCCATTTAACACTAACCGAGTAGTAACCCCTATAACACTGAATAAGTAACCCCTATATGGTTGTAACACTGACCGAATCAAATATAACTATATACTAAAAGACATACCAGCACTGACACGTGTCATTTTCCGGTGTGTTCTTATTTTTTTCATTAATTTAGAAAACAAATCTTATACAGAAATAGAAGAATAAAAAGATTTAATGTATCCTTCCAATATATATATTGATACCATAAGCTTAAGTAAAAAAATAAATCAAATAATTTGTGACATACATAGTGTTATGTACTACTTTACCATTATAACAACAAGGATTTTTTTTTTTTTTAAAGATTTTTTAATTAATCAATAACTAGTTTTTATGCCTGGGCCATGCCCTAGATTACTGCATTATTTTCATGATAAAAATCTTTAATTTTGATTGAATGACATTTACTATATATGAT